ACAGTCTCTGAAACCCCACCAACTCTATAATTATGATTATGAATGTTTGTCACAAGTATTATATATTTTTAAATTACTGCCTGAATGCTAAGGGAGTAGATTAGCAGCTGAAGAGCTATCTAGATTATTAGACAGATTATATATATGCATCTTGATTTGTCTATGTGACAATGTTCAGAGTGTAATTTAATTCATGCCATTTTCTTGCATCAGTTTTTTCTCCTTTTTCCATTTCTTCCATCCGCCTACTCCATTCCTTTACCTACAATTTCCTCTGGCCTCCCATTCCTCCCTCTTTCCTGCTCTTAATCCACGTGTTCTACTTATATCTTTCTCCCTACCTCCTCCATCCCGACTTCTTTCTCCCTTCCCTCTCTCCCTTCTGGCTCCCCTTACTTCCTGCCATTTATTCTCTCTTCTGTTCTCTTCTTCTCTCCTTTCTTTTTCTCCCTTTTTAAGCTCTCATCAACCCTTTGCCCAAATGAAATAAAATAAACACTGTACCACCTCTATTGCCTTTCAGTGTTCTTCCTATTATCTATGCCAACTAGCTGGGAAGAATTTTATGAGCATAAACAAAATAAGGGCACCCCAATGCTTCCCAATTCTAGGTGATATTGGTGTAAGGCCAGCATTTACCAAACTGGCAGATTTTTAATGTCCATTAAACAAAATCATTTGGGTTTACATGTCTAAGACTTTACTTGAACTTTAGTATTACCAATATGAATGTTTTGATTGCCTTTATAAAATAGAGAATAATTAAAAGTAAAGCTAGCCAGTGTTGTGAATATTGGTCCATAAGTCCAGTAAAATAAAAGACTCAAGAAAACTACTGCCTCTGTGAGAAAGGCCTCACACTTATTCTCCAAATTTAAAATAAAAGGAAAGATAAGAGAAAAGAATTGAAAGAAAAGGTGGAAGTAGAGCTTTGGCATATGGGAAAAGCACCAAAAGTTGGAAGGAAAAGGAAAAGGTGGGAGGAGTAGGGAACATAAAAAGAATTGAGATGTGATTATGTACCTGTACCTCAATATAATATTATGTAATGACAATAACTGAAATCATTATAAAAAGGCAAGGATGTCCATTATCACCACTCCTATTCAATATAGTTCTGAAAACATTAGCCAGAACGATTAGTCAACACAAAAAATAAAAAGAATAAAGATAGAAAATGAAGAACTTAAATTATCATTATTTGCAGATGACATGATACTTTACATAGAAGACCCCAAAAACTCCACCAAAACTACTTGTAGATTTAATATCCAAATTCAGTAGTGTAGTGGGATACAAAGCCAACATTCAGAATGAATAGCATTCCTGTACACAAGCAACAAACTCTCAGAAAGAGAACTTAGGGAAAGCATACTCATCACAACAGCATCTAAACAATGAAATACTTAGTAATCAGTCTAACAAAGGATGTAAAAGAACTGTACAGTGAAAATTACAGTACCCCAAAGAGGAGATCAAAGTAGATATCAGAAAATGGAAAGACATTCCTTGCTCGTGAATAGGAAGAACCAACATAGTGAAAACGGCCATGGTGTCAAAACTGCTACACAGATTTAATGCAATCCCAATCAAAATACCATTAGCTTACCTCACAGATCTAGAGAAAACATTCCTAAAATTCATTTGGAATGAGAAGAGACCTAGAATAACAAAAGCAACTCTGGGCAGCAAAGGCAAGTCAGGGGGTATCACAATCCCAGTCCTGAAATTATATGTCAAAGCTACTGTGATAAAATCAGCATGGTATTGGAAAAAAAAGATCAAAACAGACCTAAGCATTAGTGAACAGAATAGAAGATGCAGATGCAACCCCAAATACACTCAGCCACTTTATCTTTGACAAAGGAGCCAAGCATGTTCACTGGAAGAAAGATAGTCTTTTTAGTAAATGGTGCTGTAAAAACAGACTTACCACATGCACTAAAACTAGACTTATGTCTACCACCGTGCACTAAGGTCAAAATGAATCAAAGATCTAAATATTAAAATAGAAACACTAAATTTTCTGGAAGAGAATATAAGTAGAAATCTCAAAGACATAGGTATAGACAGAGACTTCATGAACAAAACCTAGACTGCAAGGGCAATAGTACAAATAATCAACAAATGGGATTTCACACTATTAAAAAGTTTTCACACAACAAAAGAAACCACCAACAGAGTGAAAAGACAACTCACAGAGTGAGAAAAAATTTTAGCCATTGTCCCTCAAAGGACTTATATCTAGAAATATAAAGAACTGAAAAACATCAACCCCTCCCCAGGTTCAAAGACCCAATCCAAAAATGGGCTTCTAAGATGAATATACACTTCTCACATGAAGAAATTCAAATGGCAAATAAATACATGAAAAAATATTCAGCATTATTGATCATTTGAGAGATATAAATTAAAACAACACTGAGATTCCATCTTACCCCAAAATGAATAGCTATCACAAAAAACATCAACCAATAAAAAATGTAGGAGAGGCTATGGGGTAAAAGGAACCCTTCTACACTGTTGGTGGGAATGTAGACTGGTGCAACCACTGTGGAAATCAATGTGAAGATTCCTTTAAAAAACTAGTACTATCCATTCCTCAGTTGATGGGCATTTGAGTTGTTTCCATGATTTAGCCAGGACAAATTGTACTGTTATAAATACGGGTGCACATATATCACTGTGGTATGATTTTTTAATTCTTCAGGAAAATACAGAAGAGGAATAAATGGGTTAAGTGGGAATTCTAATCCTAGTTTTGTGAGAAGTCTCCACACTGATTTTCACAGTGGTGTCCCCAATCTACACTCCCACCAGCAGTGGAGAAGGGTTCTTTTTCCCCACAGACTCTCCAACATTTGTTATTGGTTGATTTCTTCATGATAGCCGTTCTTTCTGGGGTGAGATGGAATCTCAGTGTTGTTTTAATTTGCATTTCTTGAATGACCAATGATGTTGAACATTTTTTCATATATTTATTCACCATTAGTATTTCTTAATCTGAGAAGTGTATATTCATCTCATATGCCCATTTTTGGATTGGGTCTTTGAACTTTGGAGGTATTTTTATACAGTGGAGTATTACTCAGCTATAAAAAAGTTAAACTCAAGGCTTTTATAGGTAAGTCAATGCAAATAAAGATCATACTCATAAGTGAAATAAATCAGACCCACATGTGTAGATATCATGTTGTCTCCCTAGTGTCAGAACGTCAAAGAGTACATGGAACCCAAAATGTACTACAGATGTTGGGAAAAGGAAAGAAATTGCTCAAAAGATGAAACAACAGGGATGAGGGAAAGGAGAAAAGGAAAGAAAGGAGGAAGGGAAAATATATCTACATGCACAGAAGGATAGCTGGAATAACAACTATTGATATCTAATGGTTTATTGAAAGGAACCATTAATGCTTTATTTTTTGGACCAATTTTGCATGCTTATATCTCTAAATCTGAGCCACTAATTTGAAGACAATAATGTGCAGTGTAACAAACATTGTTGAATTCCTATCGTCTTGTTTAGTGAAACTCTATATCATTTATACTTTTTTTGTTTTTATTGTTTATTCTCTTTAATGGTTTGATTAATCTTGCATTCTTACATCTGGTAATCTGACCAACACTGATGAAAATAATAATGTGTAATATAACAACCACTGTTAATCTCTACCATTTTCTTCTGAAACCCGTACCATTCTTGTTTTTGCTTTGTTTTTGTGTATGTTTTTGGCATTCTGCTATTGTTCTTTTTTAAAATTCTTTTTAAAATTAAAAAAAAAGAAAACTAATGTTAGTGGTCTCATTCAACTCAGCTATTCCCCTTCCGGGTATCTTCCCAGAAGAATTAAAACCATCATACCACAGTGATATGTATGCACCAATGTTTATAGCAGCACAATTTGTAATAGCTAAATCTTGGAAACAACCCAAATGCCCATCAGCTGAGGAATGGATAAAAAAGATGTTTTTATTTTTTATTTAATGGAGTACTGCTCATCCATAAAGAATATTAAACTGGAGACTTTTACAGTAAATGGATACAACGCATGACCATACTCGTAAGTGAAGTGAATCAGACCTGTGTAAACATTGTATCATCTCACTAGTGTGAGACACTGAACAAGTAAATAAGATCCAATAAGATCTTGTGCAATAGATATTGTGAACTGGGAAGAAATTGTTCGAAAGGTAAAACAAACTCTGAGGGGGAAAGGGGAAAGGAAGGGAGGAAAAAAGAAAAGTATATATATATATATATATATATATATATGTATGATAGTTAAGATAGCTGTACAGCTAGCTTCTCTTAGTTCATTAAAAAGAAAGGTTTATGCTAATATTATTTGGACAAGATATTATGCTTATATCTTGTACTCTGAATAACTACTAAAAAGACAATAATATGCAATGTATTAACATTGTTACTCTCCTACTAACATTTTGAAACTCTGCTTTATTGTTATTTTTATTTTTTTCTCTTTAAAATAAAAAAGTAATATTATGTACTGCAAACATGTTCTGACTATAAAATAAAAACAAAGGCTAAATATATAATTTTTGTAAGGCAGCCTCACCCAGCTAATGAGTATACTTAGAAACAGAGGCATATTGAAATAATTAACATCTCAATAATTTTAGATTTTTAAAATTTAGTTCAATTATATGGGGGATTGCACATTATGTTTTCAAATGACGCTCTATAATTTTGCAAAGATTAAGGTCATAGACCTATAAGTATTATTGTGCTTTTACAATTTCAGATTTATTACTTATAATATTACACTTTTTCCATTTACATTTTATTTGTATTAAGAATTTACTGTTTTAAGAATTTATTTGTATTAAGAATAATGTTCAATTGACCATGGTTATTCAGAATTTTCTTCCTACTATTTTACTTCTAAGAAGATAAGTTTATATTACATATTTACATGTATAATGATCCTGAGGACAGGAAAGGCATGAGTAACTAATTTATTATTATCCCCCTATTCTAGGTGAGGATCCAGAAACAAGAAGAATGAGAACTGTTAAAAACATAGCAGATCTGAGGCAGAATTTAGAGGAAACTATGTCTAGTCTTCGTGGGACTCAGATAAGCCACAGGTTTTTCTCACTTTTGTATATCTTTGGGCCAATAAAGAAGGAAAGACTGTTATCAAGCAATTACCTTCCCTTAGAGTAAAAAGGAGAAACGTCAGCTATCCTTTACCACTTACACATTCATTTTGTGTGACAATTACTTAGGGATAATCCTTAAACTGAAAGTTCACGCCATCCCCCAGGGACCTGGTTCTGCTATCTGTACCTTTATCCGTCAAATTTCCCTTTCACACTGACTTAGCTGCTGCCAACTACCACCATCATGACTAGGGGGATTTTCATGCCTGCCCTAGAGAACAGTGGCAGAAGTTATGGTTGAAATATGTCTGGAGGAAGAGTCGCAGAAAATATTCAAGCATGATTGTAGTTAACCTCAAAAAAATGTCTAGAAAGTTCATGTAGATTAAGGGTTTATTGAGAAAATAAAACAGTACTTTGTTTTATCTAAAATGTAGTGATGAAAAAAACAAAAAAAACAAATGTGAGTATATAGCCCTCTGCATATTCTGACTTCAACAGAGATGGTTGGAATCACAAAATGCTCCTGGACAGTGACTTAGCTTTTTAAGTGAAAGTCATAGTCTCCTAAGATAGGCCTTTTTCAACTCTAAGCTTTCTTATCCTCATGCACTTTGAGCATTTGGCCCTGGTGGACCACAGTAGAGTTATTTCTCCTTTTTATTTGACAGCACCCTGGAGACAACATTTGACAGCACTGTGACTACAGAAGTGAACGGGAGGACCATACCCAACCTGACAGGTCGACCCACTCCCATGACCTGGAGGCTGGGTCAGGCGAGTCCTCGACTGCAGGCTGGAGACGCCCCCTCCATGGGTGCCGGCTACCCTCGCAGCGGGACCAGTCGGTTTATCCACACTGACCCCTCCAGGTTCATGTACACAACCCCTCTCCGCAGAGCTGCTGTCTCTCGGCTGGGAAACATGTCACAAATGGACATGAGCGAGAAAGCGAGCAGTGACCTGGACATGTCTTCCGAGGTGGATGTTGGTGGATACATGAGTGATGGTGATATCCTGGGGAAAAGTCTCAGGTCTGACGACATCAACAGTGGGTAAGTGGCCTTGGTCTCAGCAGCACTGTGGGAGGAGGAAAGGTGGGCTACAGGATGCATTCACTGTGGAAAAGACATGGATGTTTACTTGCTAAGTTGCTAGAAAAGATGTGCAATCTGAATTTTCTTGAGGTGTTTCAAGACCTGTTTCTGCTCATTCATAGGAAGCAAAATATCCAGGGTTTCTTTCAGTTTTGTGTTCATTCTAAACCATTACGTTTTCTGTTCTTAGCTTAGAGAAACACAGATGTCCTGTGTTGTTCAGAGTGACTTTCACATGTTCTTAAGTAACAGATTTTGTAGTAAAGGACATGGGAAGGAGACAGGAGAAGTTTTGCCAAAGTGCTTGACTTTCTTTTTTTGTCCCAGCCTTCCTGTAACTGCTGTGAACAATAAATATTTTCTAGCATTCTTCAATGGTATACCTCCGATTTTAATTTAGTTATATATCTCTAATTTTAATTGGCTTGTTCAATCTATTCTCTATTGGTGACATTAGTCTGTGTTACCCAGCATTTCAACAGTTGGACACAGTACTGGACACTCACAGCTTACCAAGGAGGAAAGGTTAAATTTGGCACATATTTTAAGAGAATTCAAGTCATGGTTCTCTGGATCCAAGGCAGAAACTTCATGGCAGAAGGACACGGTACAGCACAAGTACTTTGCTCATTACAACACAGGAAACCAGAGCAGGGGAGAAAAAGGGGTGAGGGGCAGACATACACCCCAAGGCCACACCTCTGTGGCACACCCAGACACACCCAGAAATGTTCCCCTCTGGTCTCCCAGTCAGGTTTGGAAACCAAGCAAGTTGATATTCCAACCCATCCGTCGTCTCACGGACTTAAAACATCTTAGATTTTTTTGTTTACCTTCTGTTTCCTCTTATAATCAAACAAAATACTGTGATTATGAACCTCGGAGTATTTCGGCAATTTGAAATATTTGGTTTTATCTGAGGATGGGCTGTGATGGAATGTATTCCGTATTCTATTAAAACTACTTCTGTTAATAATTGTGATTGCATTCTATGCTCTGCCTATCATCAGCTGCACTCTGGTTAAAGTGTGTTCAATATATTTTAAGAGAAATATATTATTGAAATATATTTTATTTCATTTATCCTACCCACTTCCAATACCAGTAGAGTGTGGGTGTTTTTATACATATGTATACACACAAAGACATTGAGCATATAGTTCCTGTTGTATAACACAGAGAAGGCCAGACTTGCACTAGAGCTCAGTTATGTGTTACTTTACAGCTGTGGCTCTGGACAGGCTGGTGGTGCAGACCTGTAATCCCAGGGTTCTGGGAGACTAAAACAGGAGGATCCCAAGTTTGAGTGGAGCCTGAGCATCTGGGTGACTTAGTGAGAACTTGTTACAAAATAACAAGTTCAAAAGGACTCAGCTTGTGATGGCCCTGGGTTCAATCCCTGGTACCACCACCTAAAAAGAAAGGGAAATCTAATACAGCACTAAGATACTGTAGTGTGTCTTTTCTATATAAATATATTGGGTAAATTCTGCTCTAATATCTGTTTGAATTGCATTTCTAATGTTTTTCAAGCACATGTAAATATAAAAAATCATAACAAAATGTTTGGAATGAAAACTTGTGATAATTTACCATATCACCTACCAATGATATTTAAGAATATGTATAAAATTAAACAAATTTTACTGAGGAAATCCTATTATCTTTACCTTACTCTAGCCACCCAAAGTGCATCTGAAATTTCAAAAGTATTCTGAGCCATAAAATTAGAAGGAAGAAAAAAACTGAGGCTCAGCAATGTATGGAAAAGTTTCTCAATTAACTTTGCCTATAATTTTCATGGGAGTGTGGGATTTGACCTAATTTTATACTTGTGTGTCCTAGAGGAACCATCTAGGGAATTATTCTTCTATATGAGTAATCCTTCCTGATTTATAAAAAGCTTATGTTTGAATGAAATCCTGACCTATCACAAACAAAACACACACATACACGCACACAAAAGCAGCTTTTGATGATATTTATAGCTGTGTTCTGACATTCTGAGACCCAACAGACCATTATTCCTGGTATCTACCCTTCTAGACTGTGTGAGGAGGGCAGTCGATGATTAATTAGGACAGATTTTAGTTGGCTCCGATGCCTAATTTAAATCCCTTTCCACCCTTGGACCCCTTGGGAGTTTAATACACCAAAATTCATTTTATATCATCTAAAATGCAGATAAAAATGTAGTATTTCATAGTGTACAGATGAAAAAAACTCATCCACAAAAATGTACTTAGCTTGCACAATACAGTTGCTCCATAAATTTATTTTCCTCTTCCTCATCATCATTACATGTATTATAAGTAATATCATGCAAGTTTTGGTCATTATTGCTTACTATTATTACCTTTGTGTGTATTTAACACAGCCTAGGAGGAAAGGCCAAGTACAAGGGACATGATGGCATCATTGTAGTATCTAAGGATGTTCCTCTACCCCGTTTCCTTTTTTTCTTCTTCATTCTTCCCAACCTCCCTCTTCTTTCCTCCTCTCTTTCCTTTTTCAATCTCTTTAAGTGTGGGAGTATGCATGTGTTCAGTTTTTATATCACTATTCAAATACATTACATGAATAATTATATACATAAGTATATGCATATATTTATACATACACAAACGTGTATGTGTGTACATCTGCACATAGGCAATCTTATTATCCATAAGCGTCATTTTCTTTGTAGGACACAGTACAGCCTTCTTGCACTTAGGAACACAGAGTGGTCTCTCAGTGCTATATATACAGTAGCCATTGAGAATCACAAAATCTCCACCGAAAAGGATGCACATATGCATCAAGCAGACCACGAGAAGGACACTTTTCATAGTATGAGAGCTGACATGAGCAGGGAGAGTGCTTCCTTGTTTGACCGCAGCTGGAAGCCTCTGACTCAAATCTAGCCGTTTTCCTCACATGTCTGTGGTGACTGAAGGTGCTACAAGTATTGATTTGGAGACTATCAGTGAATTTTAGCAAAATAGGCAAATTCACAAATGAGGAATTTGCCAATGGTAAAAATTGGCTATTTATTCACTCTTATAGGAATTTTTTTTTGGTGCTGGGAATTAAACTCAGGACCTTGCAACTTGCCAGGCAAGCGCTTATGCCTCTGAGTTATATCCCCAGCCCTTATATGAAGTTTTTATCTAGGGTAAAAACTGTTTATTTTGGGTCCAAAATAAGTCAGAAATCAAGGGACATCTACCTACAATATGTGGGTAACTTAAAAAAGTTTCTATAGATAAAAATTTAGAGAAGAGTTCAGAATAAAGAAGAGCTAATTTCTGGTATGAAATATAAATAAATGAATAAGAACACATTCTTGGGTGTTTTCCTGATTTAAAAAGCTATAGATGAGGGGAATACATTTAAAAAGAAATTCTGTAAGAGAAGTCCAGACATGGAAGATATGGTCCATTCAGTAGCTTGACTAAAATATAACATTCTGAATCAAAGGGAGAGCTGGGGAGATGCCACCCATTGGTCTTTAACTGAGAGGTATGGAAGGTGAATACTTGAAGGTGAGATTTAAAGAACCATTGTGACAAGTCTTGGCAGCATTATGTTAACTAGTTTGAGCTGTGTACAGTGCATAGTGGAAACCACAACTTCTTAGAATTTATGAAACAGTCACAGAACGGGACATGAAGACTGTTTTGCAAAGACAATTTCAAGGAAACAATGGATTGAAAGGGAAAGAACCAGGGCTGGATTTCAGGAGCAACTGCAAGAACTCACATTCAAGGTTAGAAGATCATAAATATGGTAATGGCATCGGTAGGGATGAAAGGTGGAAGGTAACTGATGAAGGAAGCATGACAAAACAAAAAATTACAGAAATGACAATGAACTCATAAGGGCATAAAGGTACATGGGAGGCGAAGAACTCACGTTGACATGCCTACATGGTAAGCCCAGGAGATAGAAATGTGTCACATTAGAGAAAGCAGAAAAAGAGAAGGAGCAGAACTTTCTTGCTGGCTTGCTTGCTTGCTTGCTTGCTTGTTTGTCTTTTTTCTTTCTCTTTTGCTTTCTTTCTGTTTTGGCAAGAGGGGAAGTGATGAATGTCGAATTACAAATGGAGTGTCAGAGACTGTGGGATGTAAAGGTTGTTTGTGGAAAATCAAGACTAGTGCCCAGGATAGAGTCATAATGATCTCATCTTAGTAGGAGAGAGTGGAAATTAGGAATGAGGAATCCTTGGAGAAGTATACAGAGTGACAAGGCTTCCTAAACTGAAATATGTACGTACCCATGTACACGGTACAGAAGTATTGGTGGAATTCATCCTTAGGCACCATTAGGAACACTGAGCATGCAGTAGTGAGTAGCATAGACAGTGTCTGCCCACATGTGACTCACATGCTAGCATCTTTGTATTTGTGCAAGTGTTCATTCATCCAATAGGTGAATAATGATTTATGAGTATATACCTATATCAGTGTACATACACACAAGTATTCTGGGATAGCTCGATGTTTTAAAGGCATGTCTTGAAACAACTGAATTCTCCATATAAAATATATGTATATATTGCATGCATTTTGACCTGGGAGCATTCCATCTTTTTAGAATCCTCTTAGTAAAGATTCATATATCAGAGAAATGTCACAACCTCAGGAATGTCAGAAAAGATCATTTCTCCTTCACATACTCATGGTATCTTCAGTCTTCAGCTGGGGACTGTATACCATGTCCTCATTCAGAGTAAGATGGATGGGAGCTCTGCTATTATCTAGCCAAGTTTCCAGTGCATCCCTCAACCTTCATATTCAAGAGGAAAATGGCAGAAGAGGGGAAGAGCCATGGTGTGAAAATACTTTATTTGCACCAGGCTTGAAAGTTCTACAGATAAATTCTACCTACCCTTCTTGTCTGGAACAGCTCCCTGGCTACATCTAATTATAAGAAAGGCAAGAAAATAAGGTTCCATCCTGGGCCAGGGGAAAGCAGGAAACTGGTTTGATGAGAGCTGGGTAGTCCCTGCTAAATTCACTATTGATCAAAAAGGTTTTTAGATCCTTTTCCTTCCTTATTTATTTCAATCCTCATTTGAGACCTGATTTAGACTTCTGGTTTCCTTCATTTATGTTCTTGATCAATCTTTCAAAGGAAATCTTGGGCAGTCTCTCAGTTAAGTTCATTTAAATGTGCAACAGTGCTGTCTACATCTTTTATGTTGGCCAAGTAAAATTACTCCAAATTCTGCACAAAACTCCCTCCAGAGATATTTACCTGCATGACTTTTAATACACATAATCTCTTTCTTAATGTAGAGCATGGGAGATTGAAATGTAAGGCACATCAAGTCCAGTCTCCTGTGTGGAAGATGGGGGTGTGGCTGGGTCTCAGCTCCAGGGGAATTGGAAGCTACTGTGCAGAGGACACTCAGGGTGCACGCCTGTGCTGCCAGAGGATGGAGCATGGCATGGTGGCATCGCCAGGAGGCAGAGGAATATCTTAGCCTAGAATGTAAATATGGAGAGATGAGAGGGCTTAATTTGGCTATATTTTCTTTAAGCAAGAAAACAGAACTCAGAAATACCTGTGCTACAATTTATAAAAAATTGAATCACAGGGTTAGTTTTTCTCTCAAAATTTTTAAAAGTATGTTTCACTGGTTAAAGGGGCAGGAGGTTCAATAGACATAGTAATGAATGAAGACGTTTAATTTAGGACATTGTTTTTTCTCATGCAAGCACAAGAATGCCATGAAGGCAATGCCAATGGGAAGGAAATTTCATATTTTTCATGTACTCTAGGTAGAAATCAGAAAATTACCTAATGGGCATTCTGAGAATTCAAAATTTCTTGAAGCATGCAAAAGCTTATCGCTTCCTTCTCTTTTTGAAATTACACACTTGGGGATGTGGATCTGTCAGTAATTAGGAATTAGGCAGAGAAAGGGCTCTTACTTATAATAAGTCTGCAGAAAATATCTCTATTTGTGAAGCTGGAAAAGAACACTTTAGAAAATTGGTAGAAAGTTACTTATTTTAATTGAGCGAAAATTGAAGTTATCATTTTGTAGCACAGTGAAAAGTAGTTTGAACCAAGCATATAACCTAAAATTCAAATTGTACTTAAATCACACAGTGCTACTAGAGAATGAAATTTAAAAACAGGGAGGAAGATATACTTTAATTCTGATTTTGCATTCTCCCTCAATTCTCCTTTATTAAGCTTTAGATAACTGAAATATGCTTAACAGTGGAAAGTTTAAGGAACTTAAGCTGGCTTAAAATGGTCTGTCTTGTGAGTCAAATTCCTAATCTCAATTCTTTTTTCTAATTTCATATATGGGATATAAGTCAAAAGTTAACAAATACAGAAGTCTTCATGGAAAAAAAATGCCTGATAGTGCTAGTCTAGATATAAATAGTACTTATTACTGCTTAGATATTGTTCTATGCAATATTACCATCTCCAACTTATAGCTAAAGGAGTTGTCATAGATAGGTCAAATGACATGCCTGAGCCCACACAGGTAGTAAATGGTAGTTCTGTACTTGAATCTATTATTTTGTTTGTTTGTTTGTTTTTCCGGTACCAGGAATTGAACTCACAACCTTGCGCTTGCCAGGCAGGCGCTGTGCCGCTGAGCTAAATCCCCAGTCCCTGTACTTGAATCTAAAAAGGTGACCTCCTTGTGAGATTATCTACATTCCTACATGCACAGAATTTTCCCCTGTGATCTTGTTGGGTTTTTTTTGTTTGTTTGTTTCACATAGTCATGTAAAAAGTCTCACAGTAGTCATTTGTTGTTAGTATAGGTTTCTCAACTAACACTTTTGATCTAGGGGTATTTTTTTCATGTTATCTGTCAACTTTAAAGGACCATACTGAACTGTAGTTCGTCTTTGAGGAGGAGAGAAAATCACTTTAAATTCTCTGGATGCACTTATAATTAAAATTTGGCTACTTGTGACATATAGCAGCTGACAGAAAATGTTAATTATAAAAACATAATAGAATGGTAGGAAGGTAGAATTTATGGTAGAAGCATAACTTTAAAAAAAATTTCCTGAATTCCCCATTAAAATAAGGCAAGTGACAGCACAGCCAAAAAATGAAAAAAAAGAACTACTTACAAAAAAAAAAAATGGTAAGTTACTCAAGTATAAGCAGTTGACAGCAAACCGCCAAGCACCAGAGAACTAACATGGTACCAACATTTATGTGAGAAGTCACAGAAGGTAAGAATGATATATCAATTAGTACTGGAAGAGGAGAACTCCAAACAGTCTATAGGACTTGATCAGAAAACTCACACAACGTGGTTGATGCTGGTTTCGTGACCACTTGACAAGACAGCGTATGGGCCCATGGTCTGTGTGAGGGAATGGGACAGATAGTGCCCAGGAACTGCTTAGAAGGCCTACCGCTGTTCTCCTCAAGGACAAGATGCTGATCGCAGAGTTCTGGAACTTAAATCAAATCAGCAAGATGTGGACACTAAAGTAAATGTAAAGAGGATCTGGGTAAAAGGGAGAGAGAAACAGATCTCCAATAGTCTGAAAGCCCAGCTTTTAAACTACACAAAAATAACAGAAGTAGTTGCTATGTGAACTTAGAAAGCTATTTTACTGAAACCTGCTTTTATTCAGAAGAAATTGACATATAAATGTTTAAGACAAAATTACCAGAATCAAACTCTACATAAATCACAACATATGCAATGTGTTCAACTAAAACAAGATTAGTATCAGTAAGGAAATAAAGAATAAACAAACAAAAAGCATGGAATATAACAGACATTGAGAAAATTGCATCAGTAAAAATTTCACAGATGAGATATAAATGGCTTGTAACAATATAACCCACAACCAATGTACTTATTAATGGGGAGAGCTCAAAGAAAAGCAGCGGGAGGACAGTGTGGCCCTGTAGGTCAGGCTGCACTAAGAGGTGTTTACAATGATCACGGTTGCTTCAGCCAGCTTTCTGGAAGTATTTCTCAGCTCTCCTGAGCTGATTGAGGAACCATGTGCAAGAACTTACCCTGTCAGCCTGTATTTTCTTCATCTCAAAAATGAAGATGATCATGTTAGTACATGAAAATTATTTAGAATAGGCCCTGGAAGCATTTTAAATATTTAATACGTGTTGGTTATTATTCTAGGATAGTGACCAATCGAGGCATAATTCTTACTTGTCAAATAAATGAATTCTAAGTTTAGTGATGTCCTATTCATCCCATCATCCTCCAAGGATTAGAAAATAGTACTTACAAAATAAAATGATCTTGCTGCTCTTTAATAAGAGTCATATTATCTGCAAACCTGTCCAAAGTACTGATAACAAAAGAGAAAAAATAGATTTCATAGTAGTCTACTTACACTTTATAGTAAATATCGACCTCCCAATAAAATTGAAAAGATACTATATTACTAAAATATGTATCTTTCTGATGAGCAGAATGTTGATACAGAAAAAATATTAATAGTGTTGATGTTAAATAATTATTGAAAATTGAGAACGTAGTCTGTTTATTCAATTAAATTGTACATGTCGTTTAATTTTCTGAGGACTAATTAGACATTTCTCTTAAGGTACATGACAGATGGAGGGCTTAACCTGTACACCAGGAGCCTGAACCGGGTACCAGACACAACGACTTCCAGAGATGTTATCCAGAGAGGCGTTCATGATGTAACGGTGGATGCAGACAGGTAATTCTGTCTATGCAGGTGATGGTGAAGAGTGCATAGGACAAGTTTATAAGTAAGATCATGAGGGTTTTTACAGCATAAACCAAAAGTTTTCAATTAATGATTTTTTTTAGAATGTTGTAAAACTAAAGCAGTTTCAACTTCATGACCATTTTAGCTCTGTAATATTGAAAACTTGTGTTGCTTAATTTAATACTTACAGTAATTATAAATATAGACTTTTTTCCTACCTAGGTAATATGTTTTTCAATTCAGATACCTTTTGTGTTACCTAGAAGCTAATAATATAAAATATAAAACATTTAAAATTATCAGGTATAATAAACTTGATGCATTTCTTGTGGGGGTTGAAGATATACAAGTCTTGCTTTCTGCCAAAGGTGACGAACCAATGGCATGCGTGCCACAGCAAGCCGTGTCACCGAAAGCTCTAAAAGGTTCGCCATTGCTGTTTTAGATTAATTTTTGAGGCTTCTCCATTTCCTTAAACTGTTTAAAGAGATAAAGACTTTTATACACTGTGCATTTTTTTGCTGCTTTTATCAGAATAATTACAGACTGAGGGCATTGCTTTTGTAAGCTAACGTAAGAAATATTCCTGACCTAATTTAGCTCTCTCTTTCCTCAGAATTTTTACTTTATGAACAAAGGAGGGAATGCCCATTCCCATAACATACACATCTATATCTGTATCTGTATCTATATCTATGTCTGTATCATCTATCCATTGAATTCTAGAATATTCCCTTAATTCAACATTTATGAAAAGGACAATAGGTTAAGATGTAATATATGAGTGTCGACATTTTGAAATAAGAAATTTGTACAACTTAGTGTATGTTCTGTGCCCTCTGCTACAAAGGCTGGGCAGTGAATTCTGACCTTCCCCTTCAGTTTAACCTCCCTCATGTGCTGTTGGTATCTTAAGTGAAGAACAGACTTAACTTTCATCTGGTATATGGTGTAATCTAGTGGCCTAGTTCTGCATGTGTATGTGTGTGTGCGTGCATGTGTGTGTGTGTGTGCGTGTAAATATGTAATTTAAAAGGCTAGGGGAAAATTTCCTCTCAGTCCCTAGCCTACACTCCTGAAACATATTTTCTCCCTGACACCTTCGCTAACATTAATCCCCTGGACTTCTGTCTGTTCCTTGAAACAGTCTAACCTCATTTCTCTCTCAGGACTTTAACTGATGTTTCTGTGCTTGGAGTGCCCTTTTCTGTGTTACTTAGATTGCTACCTGCAGTGCTGGCCCAGGGTAGCCTTCTCAGAGGAGTGTGTTCAGAGTAGCTCCAATAAGCTTCTTCCTAGTCAGTCACCTGATATCTTCATGGTGCACGTCACTCCCCAAACAGATCACACTTCTTTGTGTGTTTATTTTCTGTATTCCCTATTAAAATATATGCCCAGGACTGCAGAATGTTTGTTATATTTAGTCCATGATGAGATTTTTAAAAAGGCTGATAGTATGAGTGAACAAAGGGGTTAACTTAGGCTATCCATTCATTTAGAATATACAATCATTCAGCCTAACGATAAGATCCAATTTGGTGGAGAGACAAATGAGGTCAGAAGTAGCCAAGAAGCTGCAAGGATATCACAGGAGGGAGGAAATGGCTTGTGTGCAAAAATGGGAGACAGTGAGTAGAGGGGGGAAATCAAAGGATGCACCATCTTTGGAAACTGATGACCTACACACTGTTACCTGACCGTCGAAAAAAATTAAATGAGAGAATATCTGTTGGTCTTTCCTAAATGTGGTCATGATGGAAGAATCTAGAATCAGCACAAGTTTGGAGACAAATTGGGATAACCCATTCTTATTTTTTAAAGCTCCAGATTGGATCAGACTAAGGGCCCTCTGACCAACGAGAGAAACAGGTATCAAGTAAATTTTGTCTGTTCAAAACAGTAATTTCCAAAGCGTGGCACCTTGCCTCGCAGCTTCACTTAAGAACTTGCTAGAAATACAAATTCCCAGACCCATCTAAGACCCACAGAATCAGAAACTCTAGACCTGGAGACCAGTAATCTGAGCTTTCACCAACATTTAAGTGATTGTTATGTACATTAAATTTCAAGAATCATTTTCTAAAATATAAACAAATATATCCCAAACTTTTCAAACCATAAATGCTTAGCATAAACAAACAAAAAAAAAATCACAGTTTGAAGTTCCTATTTTTTAGCTGAGTTTTGTCAAGAGGAAGAGAACATGGTTATAATATACCAGTGACATTGTCCGTAAACTAGATCAAATAATGACTCGTTGCACCTGAATTAAATTGTTGGTAAGATTTAGGTTTTGATGATGATATTAAGTTTCTAAAAGAATTATTGAATTAAAGCAGTGAAAAATACCACATTATGCACTTATTAAATAACAATCGGGTCATACTTTATTATGTCCTGTTAACAGAATAAAGGTTTTTCTTTTGTTATAAATACATTTTAAGGTGTTTTAAAATCCTATATTTGAGAAGTGGATCAGGACAACCGTCATTTTTAGATGCATGATTTTAAATATTTTAGTTATGTACATCTCTCTGTTAATTTACAATTTCTGTTGTTATTTTATAAAATCTTCTCAATTATAATATCTATGCCAAGTAAGAAAGGTAAGGATAGCTAGAAAGAAGTACCTTCATTATTCACTGTAATTCAACACAAGTGGAAATTACTTTTAGAGCATCAGAAAACTTATTCTCTGCAGATTTGCCTAAACCTTTTAATCTTAGAATTTTAAATCTTATGTGGCAGAAGAAAACTACCAGAAAGTTCCTCTGGGAGGTTTCACTACACGAAATACCACACAGAAACAGTCAAGCAACAGACTACATAGATTTTAAATGACGAAAAGTCTTTCACAGTATCTTCTGCTCATTTTCAAACTACAGCTTGTCTGTGCTTCTGCAGTGTGTTCCTTGTCTTCTTGTTATGCAGCTCACCAGGACTGTAAGTCAGTGTCTTTGTTATGCAGCCATGTTGATTACACTCAGAATTGAAACACTTGAATGTAATATAATGTCTAATCTGTGTGTCCCCAGTGGCTGTCACACTGTAGGAACTCAATAAGCATCTGTCACATAATTTGCTAAAGTAACCATTATCAGCTTATAAAATACAGAAATGTAGTTTTTAAAAGTTTAAGTGCATTAAAAATTGACATGTTGTTTAAAGACCTTTCAGACATCATATAGGCTGATGAAAACATTCAACATTTTTTCCACTAGCTTTTTGATATGTACAATACATTATTGTTATCTATTTTCACTCTGCTGTGCAATAGCACATTACAACCTTTCCTGGTCTTTTCTAGTATTTCTTGTCATGCAAAATGATATTAGATATTCTAGGTTAAATTTTTATTTAATCTAATGCATTATTTGACAGATAAAATAATGAAAATCCAGAGACAATAAGCAACTTATCGAGGACTATGTAGCCAATCGAAGAAAGATTTAGGTATTTTACTTCCCATCCATGTGCTTTCCCAATTATCTTAAAGTTATTTTATTTTATTTTATTTTATTTTTTTTCCAGTACCAAGAATCGAACTCATGACCTTGTGCTTGCCAGGCAAGCACTGTGCCGCTGAGCTAAATCCCCAGCCCCTCTTAAAGTTATTTTAAATAATATGAAGCATACTAATGATTAATTCCTTTTATCAAATTAGTAACTAAGACTTGACTAATTTATTGAACAAAAAAAAGCTTTAACAGCCCTCAGTGGTGATTCATCACTGTATTGTGTTTCTTGGATATTCTCTCGATTGCGTAAGTAAAACACACTTATATAACAACTACAGCCAGCTAGCGGTGATAGTGAGGCTTGAATGATTTGTGTTATGTCTTGAAGTCATAGAACTGCTTCTGATCCTTTCCTGTGTAGAATATAGTTAAGCAGTAGAGAATAGGTGAGTTCTTATTGGCAGATTGAAAGTGCCACCGCCCCTCCCCCGGGAAAAAATGCATAAAGTACTTTTAGCAGCCAGCCATGGTTACTGTAGTACTTAAAAATATTATAGTGCCTTTAGTTTCCACATCAATCCAATGCTAACTCCATTCCTTTTTTAATCTGGTTAAAGAAAGTTTAAAGACAGTTGTAATCGTTGTAGGTGTGTTGGAGACTCTAAGAATTTCACAGATTCATAACAGGCAGTTAAAGTATAAAAATAGACTTACTCAGAACAGTGTGATTTAAACAGGTTCTTTAGAAAAGAAAAGCACAGATGTTTTGTGATGTATTTTGAGAGAAATCAAAAGGAATTTGGGGAATGAGACCATAAAAAGTAGAAGAGTTTGGTGTAAGGAAAACCTTAATGGGATTTTGTCACTGTGCTGGGAATGTGTGTAGAAATGACAGAAGTTTGGACCAGTAGATTATAAGAACTATTTTATCTATTCTAAGTAGATTTTGCTTTGCATTTCAAAGCAAGAACACATGTGCAATAGCCATTGCATTCTAAAAAGACTCTTTCTCAGCAGCGGAAGAATATTAAAGATTGATAAAAAGAAAAGCAGCTTTCTTAGTAAGTTACTAGAAGTCCGGCTGAAAAAAATCACATGAATATTCAACTGAAGAACAGCAGAGGACTGTGGAGTGGGAACACCAGTTATGTCTAGAGAATGTGACTTATCTGTGTGTACTAACATGCTCAGCTATATCACAAAATACCACAGAGTGGGTGGTAAACAACCAGCATTGTATTTCTTACAGTTCTGAAGGCTAAAGTCTCATCATGAAGGTGTAAGCACATTTGATATCTAGAAAGGACTCTTGGGCTTGCAGATAGTCAGTAAACACAATGAATATGACCAGCCTAAAAGGGTCAGCCATTCTAGTCTCTCAAGAATGCTGCCTTTAGAAATGTACAAATGTGGAACATAAGGCCAAAGATGGCTAAACCATTTGATATTTCCAGTGCAGCCAAGAATCTGGGCTTTTGTCTGAAATCTCCTAATTTTCCTGTATCGGCAACTCTCCTAACAAGAGACCTA